GTTTTAGCCGCTTCTGTTCAGTGGAACTTTCCTTTCTTCAGGCACTCGGTAATTGGTGCCATGATAGTGCTGAAATTCTTCACAAATCGTCTATAGAAAGTTGCAAGGCCATGAAAACTTCTTACCTCAGAAGTGGTCTTTGGAGTTGGCTATTCTCGGATTGCTTCAACCTTGGAGTCGTCAACACGAATACCATCACATGTTATGACGAAGCCTAGGAAAAGAAGTTGTGTTTGCAGGAAAACACATATCTTCAAGTTGACGTAGAGCTCATTTTCCCTTAGTACTTCTAGCACCTTCCGAATGTGATCAAAGTGTTCATCCTCATCCTTGCTATAGATCAAGATGTCATCGGAATAGACCACAACAAAGTGGGATAAGAAGGGTCGAAGGGCTTGATTCATCAAGTGCATAAAGGTACTTGGTGCATTTGAGAGTCCAAATGGCATGACTAGACATTCAAACAACCCTTCTTTTGTCTTAAAGCCTATTTTCAATTCATCCTTAGGTCTGATACGGATTTGATGATATCCACTTCTTAAATCCAGCTTTGTGAACACTCTTGCTCCACTAAGTTGATCCAACATATCATCTAGACGAGAAACAGGGAATCTATACCTTACGGTGATACTGTTAATGGCTCTACTATCCGTATACATGCGCCAAGATCCATCTTTCTTGGGCGTGAGTAGGGCTGGTACATCACATGGGCTAATACTTTCTCGAATGTGCCCCTTTTGTAGCGATTCCTCTGCTTTCTCCTTCAATATATCATGCTCTTTTGGGCTCATTTGATAGTGTGGAAGATTAGGAAGACTTGCTGCCGGAATTAAGATTCTATGTTGAATCCCTCTCATCGGCGGTAGGCCTTGTGGCTCCCCAAGTATGTTATGAAATCCTGCTAATAAGCCACGTACCTTTGCTGGAATTTCAACAGTTGGGTGCTCTTCTCTTTTTACAATAAGTGCAGCACACAAATCTGCCTCCTTCAAGTCTTCCATAAACTCATTAGAGGTGTGGGAGATAGTTAGCATACTTTTCCCCTCGTCCTTATACATATTACGTCACTTTTGTTTGGTAGAATAATGATCTTTCTCTTGTTCCAAATGAAAGAGTAAGAATTTTCCTTGCCCTTGTGTGTAGTATCCACATCAAATTGCCAAGGTCTCCTAAGAAGAACATGGCTGGCATCCATGTCAACCACATCACACAACACATTTGAGCGATAATGCTTGCCCAAAGAAAGTGGCAGGTTGCATTGTTTGGTGATCCTCATATTCACTCCTTTCTTGATCCACCCAATAGTGTAGGGGTTTGGATGATCATGAGTATCAAGCTTTAAATGGTTCACCAACTTCTGGGAGATAAGATTCTCGCAACTGCAACTATCAATCACTAATTTGCATACCTTGCCATTCATCGTGTATTTGTTCTCAAATATTTTCTTTCGTTGTGTGTCGTTAGGTTGTGGTGTGGAACATAGGAGACGCTGAATCACACATACCACCTCTTCACCTTCTTCTTGACAAACCTCTTGCCCCTCTACATCATCAGATTCGTATTATTCCTCGTCGTCTTCACCATCATGGATAGTTGTGTTAACAAATTTCCTTAGTGGGCAACCGCCGGATATGTGTCCCTCTTCACCACATTTATAGCACTTTGGGCCTTTATTAGACTTACCCTTGCCTCTAATTTGCTTCTGGATGGGTCCTTTTGCCTTTGGTGGAGCAGTCTTTTCTTCCACTCTATTAGGCTGACTCCTAGACGAGCCTTTGGTATGAGGATATGGAGGGTGTGGAGCCTTAGTTGCCTTTCTTGTCCTCACAAACCTCTCGGCCTTTAAGGCTAGAGCTTGTGCTTGATCAATGGACCAGATTTGTTGCATCATTAATCGATCTTGAATAGCATCATTGAGACCATTGATGTACCTTGCAACTTGTTGATCTTCCGTTTCAGCAAGGTTGCACCTCACTTGTAGCCTTAGAAACTCCATGTAATCTGAAACAATCCTTTTTCCTTGAGCACAATTTTGCAATTGGCTAAATAGTATCTGGTCATAATCAGCGGGCAAAAATCTCCCTTTCAAGAGGCCTTTCATTTGCCGCCAAGTTCTCACACGAGGTTCTCCTCTCAGTCTGCGCTCTTCTTGAATGCGATGCCACCATGCACCTGCTCCTCCTTTCAGCTTGTATGCGACCAAAGGAACTCTACGATCTTCTGGAACCTCCATGACCTCAAAGAAAGTCTCCACTTCATATAACCAATCTAGGCACCCTTCATATCAACATTTCCATTAAAAGTTGGGATCTCAGCTTTCACCTTGTATGTATCCCTTGCATATGTAGGGTTGGGTAAATGGGTACTCTCCGATATGTGTAGAGATCTGGTTCTTCAAGGGCATCATCGTATTCTTCACCTTCAGAAGCTTCAACATAAATTGGCCTTCTTGAAGCACGTTGAACAACATGTTGTTGTGGCGGTCTTGCTCCAAGATTACCTGTCCTTCTTTGATGAACATCTTCTTCTTTAGATGAATCTCCTTCATTTGTAGCAGGGGGGACACCCTTTCTTATCATCTCAACCAGCTACTCAAATCTCTGATTAAGATCTTCACACGGCTCTTTGATTTGTTGTTCTGCAGCATCCATCCTCTTCTCCAATTGCTCCATTGCTTGTTGCAGGTTGCTCTTAAAGAGGACAACAAGAACTAGTATGGGTCGACGAGGCTCTGATACCACCTGAAGTAGCACAAAGGTTGTGGAGGAGCAACTCCACCTTGTATCGCTCTAGAGGCGAATGTAGGCCAATAGGACAGCAAGAGTTCAATCCAGACCTCCTAGGGCACAAGATCTACTCCAAGATCTTAGATAAGAACAACAAGTTCTATTATATGTAGTGGGTACATAGTCTGCTTCAAAGTAGAGGTGAGGACCTCTATTTATAGGGCTTTGGGAAGCCTTCACATACTTCTATTTATAGCTGGAATACTCTAGGAAACATTATTTAAGTTTCACCATTCTACTCATAGCTACTCACAACTAGAAGATTCTAGAAAACAGTAGGTAGGATAGAAAAGAAAAGAAAAAAAATACTACACTAGAGTGGAAGCATCTAGAAGTAGCCAAACTAATCTGACATATGATATTTTTTTCTCATCTAGTGTTCCTCATCAACTGGCCTGGCGGGGCGCGGTCCACCGGCGACAAGGAATGCGAGGTGGGGCGCCCGAGGTCACCATGGGAGGAGCTCGGGGGGAGCGGCTGCTCGGATGGACATGTCCGGGCGGTGGTGGGTCGCTGGGAGCCATTGAATCAAGATCGGAGGGGAAAGCTAGGGTTTTGGGAATGGGGGCTAGGGAACCCTAATTTGGAGGCGGAAAACTGACCAAAAATGATAGGGGAGGCATCTATGTATAGCAAGGGGTGAGATGCTCTATTGGGCTATTGACTTAATTGGACATGGGCTACAACCCGAATAGGTAGTTTGCTGAAAATTGTTTTATATTTGCTATAGTGCCTCCTATTCGAATGTTCGGGCACCAAACGAACTCCGATTCAATCGGATGAAATTTTAGATGTAGCCTTGCTAGACTATATTGAGGCCACAGAAGTCATCCCAAGCCAATTGGAGGCCGTTTGACATTATTTAGAAAATATCTCCATTTATTAAATAAGTAGGGGTTTGCATTATGGATAAGGGGCTAGGCTTGTGCAAACGTTGACATAATTTGGGTAGCTCCCAAATATCACAAGAGGGTCGTGTCCGAAGGTTCGGGTTTGAGCCTCGAAGAGCAACACCGAAAAAGAGAAGGGGTTTACTTATTCATGATTTGAGAAGTGTGACATAAAATATTTATGTTAAGTATTTAATTAATGCAATCAATTTCTAGTTTGGGGAAAACCCTGGGCTGTTACAGTGGGTTCAGTCGTCGAGGATATCCACATCCACATGGTTGAGGATGACCGTTTTTGTTTTGTTTGGTTGGGTGGGTTGTATAGGCCAATTTTTTGTTTGGTTAGAAAGATGAGAGGTGGTTAGCGATAGCCAGTTTTATGTTTGGTTTGAAAGATGAGAGGTGGTTAGCGATAGCCAGTTTTATGTTTGGTTGGAGGGTGAGGGGTGGTTAGGTTTTGGGATGATCTCTTTGCTTCAGGTGGTGAGATTACCCCACATGCAATTGCAACACAGGAAAACTTTAGCATGAAAGAATATCCATGCGTGGTGGCTTCACTTCTTCCTTTCTTTCTCATTCTAACCACTCAAAAAC